TTCTCAAGTGTCGCAGGTCACAAGCCTATATTGATATTAGCATTTGATTTTTAAATTAATAAAATAAAAAAATTTATGTAAAATTAGGAGTTAATTAAATAATGATAATGATGGGATTTTAATCATATTATAATAAAAGGTTTGGGATTGAGATGTGACATAAGATTAAGCTATTATTGCTCAAGAAACTAGATCTCATCACCTTTTGAATTTGTGGTGTTGTAATTATGGCATTCACTTTACCACCATGATGATCCATTGATACTATGGAGTATTAGTGTATTACTAAAATTGATATGCCCTAAATATATATACACCTTACTTTATATTAGTAATATTACTATTTCACTATATACATATCATTTACTTTGTTTAAAGCGATAGGAGATTAATTAGGAGTTAGATTATTGACTAGCTAGTTCTCCGACTTTCACTATGATGTAAGAGATCAATTTTCTCTAAGCTCATTATAAAAGGAATTTTTATAAAAAAGAATTTTCCTAAATCTCACCTCTTAGGATGGGATTTTCCTTTAACTTGTAAGAGTTTTGCTTCTTATTAGAAAATAATGTACATATATAATTGATTAATATACACGAATAAATGAGTTATTTTTATTGTGACTAACTATATAGATGATGTACCTCGGAATCGCTGCAAATATACTAATCCAAAACAATAATTATTTATCCCATAAACATTACAAAATGTATTCTATACATCAAACCTTCTAATCAACAACACAAGACAATGCTTCTTTTACTTTTACACTAGAAACTAGATCACTTAACCTTAACTCCCTTTACTTTTAATACTCCCCCAACGTTTTTTTACAACGGGCAAATAACTTAAGCTTAGTGGCTTAGTTAATACTCCGTATTTTACATAAAAAAAAAATTAATTAAAAGCAATACCAAATTCTAATCGAAAAGTAGAGCCTTTTTTGTTTGAAGTTTGTTAGCGGGTAGAACTTATGTTTTACACTTTAATCAATATCATCTTGAAATTTAACTTAAAACAACATATACATAAAAGCTATATTTTCGAAAACTCAAAACTAAATAATTACAAGTTTACAGCAAAAACAACCTTCAAAGTATAATACTTAGATCCCAAATACTTGGAGAAGTTAAATAAAAACTAAAAATACGCAAACATTTTTCCTAAAGCATCAATATAAACACATTTGCAATGCTCTAAACACTTGTTTTCTTGCTGATTTTACTGGTTTTTTATATGCTCGATCAAAGCGTTTCTTTTATTTTCTTTTTCTTTAATTTGTTTTAATGGTTCATTCTTTAAGTTTATACTTCAGTATTAAACTTTTTGAAAATAGGGAAAGTGAGGAATTTTTGCATGCTTTTGAGGCACATGCAAATGATAACAATAGCAACTTTAGCTTTATTTCATGGGGCTATGAAAAAAAAAAAAAAAATTAAAAGCAAAAAGAAAAGAGGATGTGCCTGGTGCCTAGGGATCCGGGGAGACAGAAAAGGAAGAAAATACACCAACAATTTTTATAGCTAGTGGAGTTCTTGTCTTTCTATGAATTGCCAACACCATGAGAAAAATGAGCCCTAATCTTGGACCCATTTTTGTAGAATATTTAGCTCCAATTTTCAATTTCTAGTACTAATCACAATAGCAAAGTATTGCAATTTGATGATATGTCATTTGAAGTTGGTTTCGGATAGGTTCCAAGGGCCAAAGTCGTTCTAATAAGTGATAGATGTATATCAGATGTAAGTTTGAGATGTACGAAGTACTATGTTATTTTAAATTGATTTTATGGGTTGTTTAGTAAAACAGGGACACATAAATGTTGAGTGTTATACTGAGCTGAGAATTAAAATCCAATATTAATACGTATTTCCATCCTTATTAGTGTACATCGGCTTTAAAAATATACTTCGATTCTTTGATCGGTTAATGTTTTTCCTTTTTTTGGTAAATCATCTTGCCAATTGCTACATGAATTATTGAGTACTTAGGGCATGTTCACATTTTACTTATTTTCAGTTCAGTTCAGTTCAGTTCAGCTCTAATCAGTTCAGTTCAGCTCCAATCAGTTCAGTTCAGTTCAATTCAGCTCTTAATTTTCCCCTCTCATAAAATATTCATTTCAGCTCAATTCAGTTAAGTTTAGTTTAGCTCCAATCAGTTCAGTTCAGTTCAGTTCAGTTCAGCTCCAATCAGTTCAGTTCAGTTCAGCTCAGTTCAGTAAATGTGAATAGACCCTTAGGGCCTGTCCGATTCACTGATAACAATTGAATTGAACTGATTGGGACTACACTGAATAGCTAGAACTAAAATAAATTATTTATGAAAGAAGAAAATTAGAAACTGAACTGAAAAAATTAAAAAGACGCTCGATGATGGTCATTTTATCAATACAAACCCTAATTAAAAAAAAATGAGTGTGTGGGAGAACCGGATAATGTCCCCCTAAGCCCAATCTTCCCTACCGGACTACCCCTACTCATTTGGTCAATGTCCACATGAAGTCCATTTCATATTCGTCTAAACAACCAATCATTGAAATTTGGATGCAATAAACTACTTGTATAATTCATAGTCATCCGCATGAAAACAGCTAGGACGATCAAAATAATTCCCATTAACAAAGATTGAAAATGGACTTAAAAATTATAATAATATGCTTTCATTGCATGAATCTGTTTGGTCCTTTGAATGATATAGAGATCCCTTCTTTTCAACTATTATTGTCTTTTTGTTGGTAAACAAATATGTCTTAATCTAATCTTTTCTTTATTTCATTTTTTTGTGTGCTTATCATTATTAGTGATTAGTGATGTCCGAATGTAAACTCATAATATCATTACATGCACTCAGGGATGGATATCAAATTCTGTTTACATTATTACTCTTATATATGATGATGTTATGTATGTTTTATAATAGAATAAACAAACCAACCAATGTCGTTTTTTGTGTTATGTAAAACCGTAGATCTACTCAAACCGTCAAACAATCAATATAAAAATGGACCACCAGGCCGGGGCCTAGTCATCTACGCACATATTGACTCCTTTTAATTCCACAGAGGCATAAATGGAGTACTTGGTATACGGGTTAAATATAACAAGGACATCGGTTTGAATTGTCAGAAATACCAAGAAAGAGCAGCAAAGTTTTTTAGAGTAATTGTAATAGAAAAGACAAATTAGGGACATGGAATATTGCTAATCTTGCTGCTTATATATGTTCCTCTTTCCTTTGCTCTTGACTCTCTTGTTTGGCCTCTTGTAAGATCATAAATTTTGGCATTATTATTTTAAATTTTAATTTTAGGGGGTTTTTCTTCACCAAAATAAAATAATTTACGCATAATAATGCACCAACAATAATCTTCTGCTTATATATGCTCCTCTTTCTAATCTTTTGGGTCCAATATGTAACCTTACACTTTATTCTCCTACCACATCCAATGGCCAATTATTATGGTTAACATTTTGTTGTGGTCCTGATAACAGGTGTGTTTCGATAATTATTAAAATTACTCCGGTAGTAATTTGATCAAATATACTTAAAATCATAATAAAAATAGATGGATTCACCACCTTTTTTAACCAATGTTTTTATATTACAGTAAGATTCTATAGAAATTTGGATTATTAACCAATAATCTTGAATTTTTAATGAAACATATAACTATTTTAGGTTGCAGACATATCGCAGGCCCACATTTTCTTGCTTTGAGAAGAGACTATGGGCCAGTGGGCCACAAAGTCCAATTTTCAGTCTCACAATGAGCTCATGCTATATATGGTCTTGTCAACACGATTTGCATCCAGAACTTTGTCTTTCTTCTTGTTGCATTTTTTAAAAATTTGGGGCACGTCCAAAGATCTCATGCTACAGCCATTTGTTGATTTCATTTTACAAGACATCAAAAGCTACAAATGTTTCCATTTTTTAATGTTAAGGAGAAGGACCCTGGTAGCATCTCACTCTTACAATTTTTTGGTCCAACATTTACGGATCAGACACTGTGAAAGTGTGTGTGGGGGGGGGGGGGGGGGTGGGGGGGAGATAAGGGATCCCCCACCCTCCAAGTGTCTCTAATGGGGATCGAACCGCAACCTCAAGGTTGGAATGTGTAATCTTTCCCATTAGATGAAAGATTTAACTACAACACTACAATACCTAGTGTGTAGAATCAATCATTCAAAATATTAAAGATATTAATGGTTGAATTTGAGCATTGACAAACATGACTAAAACACGTGTCAAACAAAAAGAAACGGAGGAAGTATTGTACTCCTAACATGCTAATGTTTAACCTTTTTTATAAACTATTTAACTAAGCTCTTATATATGTATAATCTTACAAAAGAAAACTTCCGTTTCTCTATAAATTTATGGAGTTGAGCGATTTGTTTTATTTTCAGATGAAAATCATCTCACAAAAATCAATTGGAAATACTAAAATTCCAAAATCATTAATTTTTTTTGTTTGTTAATAAATTAGGTTAGAGCCCGTGCGATGCACGGTTTATAAATCACTATTATACATGAATATAAATAAGAATTACGTATATTTTGTAATTTAATTTTTTTTTATTTTAATCAAAATTATGATATAGTATCTGTTCAACGTTGTCTAATTCATAGTTCAATATAGGAGGTCATTTATTAATATGCTATTTAAAATTGTTTCAATTTTCCACAATAAATTGATAGATTTTAGTTGTAATATAGAAGCTTTCAATATTAAATTTCAAAATGTTGAATATGATAGCTTTTCAAAAAAAATAAAATAAAAAAAATCACCATTGCATTTAGGCGGGATTTTTTTATATTGAGAAAGCGATACGTGGGCAATGGTGATGTCAACAACTTTTGTTTTAGTAATAGTTAATAGATTATTATAAAACAGTGTCATACTAAACACCGTATTCCCTATAAGGCTATAACCAAGGGTGGTTTCATTTACTTGATCTTGACTAATCTAAACTTATCTTATTTTTTTTATTTTTTTTTGAAACATAAACTTATCTTATCTAAAATTACCTAAACTTATAAGATGTCATTAAACTTATTTTAGTTGTAATTTATAATCGGTATTTGACAACCTTAATCAAAACTTTTTCTTAGATCACCACAATGGCCCAAAAATATCCTCTAGCCTGACATATCAGCCCAGCAGTTCATTCAATTTCCAACATAAAAAAAAAAATAAAAAATCCAACATTTATCTCTCGTATATTTAGGGTTCTAGAGAATAAATTAAAAAAGGAAACTTGATGAAGCTTTCTTAGGAAATTCTTCCGAGTTATCTAAACCTACAAGTAAACAGAGGAGAGAGAAAGAGAGAATTAGGAAAGTAAAGTTCATCAATTCTTTAACAATTCTTTAACAATTCTTTCTACTTTCTTCAACCTATGATTCTTTGATTATTCTTCGATTGAGCTATTTATCTCCCCAATTGCCGAATTCGAGTTCATTTCAGATCTTTCTTCAAACGAAAGGTTTGTTCTTTAATTTCATTTTGATTTAGAATTGCAATTTTAATTATTTATGGAGTTATTGATCTGGGTTTTTTTTTTTTACTTGATTCCCGAATATTATGATCTTGGTGAAGCATTGATATTTCTATACTTACTGTTATTAATTGCTTAAGTTTGATTTTTCTGGATGAATTTAGCGTTAATTTTTAATTTGATTCCTTGCTGTAACCAGGGTTTTAACTTGATTGCGTAATTGGAAATTTTAGGGTTTCTATGTTAAAGAATCCCCCATATTATTGCTGAATTAGTGAATTTGTGGTTTAATTTTGTAATTGAATGCATCGCCCCCCTTTAAAACAGAATTGCTTGCTGCTTTCAAAATGTACGGCTTTGTGTAATTTGAATTTGGTTTTTCTCTTATTTTTGAACTAGAATTGGGATTTTCTTTTAAAATTCTATTCTAATATTTAAATTTATATATAATTGGTTATTAATAAGGTAAAAAGGCAGGTTTAAAGCTACCGATAATCAATTCCTACCATTATGTATGTTTATGTTGTTGGATTGAGTAGGAAGGGTAAAAATATTCATGTAATTTAGCTGCTAGACATTGAAGATGTTAAACACAGGCTTGGCTCAAGTTTGAGTAACTTGAGTTGAAGTAATGATTTCGAATAACATTAAATCTTGTTTTTTGCGTATATGTTGTGCTTGAGTTTTTTTCGTTGTTGTAGTAGTTCAAATATTGTTTTTTTTTCACACTTCTTGATTTCAACCCTGCTGAGTGTTGACTTTAACTCATCAAGTACTTTGAGACTGAGCCTTGACTTAGCCGAGGGATGAGTTGGTTCATTTAGGCTCCTTAATCCCCTGTGGCTGCATGTGTTCAGAATTCGTTACATGATTTCTTCTTCATATAGGTAGGTATAGGATCTTTAGGGCAATTACTTAGAAGTACATTTTGTGCAACAGCCCTAACCTATCTGATAGAGAAGGATCCCATGATCCTGAATCGATCTTACCTGGGATTGCAAATTCCAAGTTTGTCTATGAAGAGCACATCGAATTGCATTAGTGTCTATCATGGATTTCTTCTGTGTAATACTAATCGATAGGGCCTTGTTGATAAGTGCTACAAGATCTCGTACATTGGAACCCATGATTAGGGACCCGAATCTATTAGTATGGAACATTTTTCTCACACTTCTTGATTTCAACCCTGCTGAGTGTTGACTTTAACTCATTACTTTGAGACTGAGCTTTGACTTAGCCGAGGGATGAGTTGGTTCATTTAGGCTCCTTAATCCCCTGTGGTTGCATGTGTTCGGAAGTTCTGACATGTGTGCAAAATGTATCTTGCTTGATTGACATTCCTGCACTTAATCTAAAATGTGATAATTTGATACAAATCAATTTGAATTGTGATCAAAATTTTCATAGAAACAATGAAAACACAATAGGTAGAACAACTGCTCCTCACCGGAACCGTAGTTACTGTCTTATGGATTTTTCTAGACTCGAGTTGCTTGAGATTAGTTGATAACATGATTTGAGAATTGAAGGTTAAAGATAGGTGATTGTAGTCATTCTTATGTGGAGAGAACTCGGAGAAGTTCTATTTTAGTTTGTAATGGTGTTTTTGTTGTTGTATTTTTAGATTTCTGTTTAGACGCTTTCACAATGAAAACATAACTGTATAAGTACTGGAGTAGTATATGGTTTTCCTATTTTGAATTTTGAGATCTAGGCATCTTTAGTTTCATGATTATGTATAGCTAAGTTCTCGAATTTTGCAATTCTAGGTTTTGCTCATACGCTAAATGAACTTTGATTCACCCCTAGCTTGGAAACGCAGAAGACTGACCAACATTGACCCAATGGACGCAGAGGCAGCTAGAGCTAAGCTAGAAGCTGCAAAAGAAAAATATGGCAGGGAAATTCATGTCTTCGAAACTTCAACACAATCAACAGCGTCTCAATCACCACCTGAGGCAGCTAATACTGAGGAAACAGATGATTTTTACGAGTTTACCGCTGCAGATTACCATCTCCTCTTGGCAACCAAGAAGGAAGACAAATACTTGAAGACCAGAAAAATTCGAGAAGCAGAGACAGCAGCCCGCAGGTCAAAGATGACCAAAGCTGTAATTCGGATACGCTTTCCAGATGGTCATACTTTAGAGGCTACATTTCATCCATCAGAGCCATTACAGAGCATCTTTGATCTTTTGAAGAAAGTACTTGCAAGACCTGAACTTCCCCATTATTTGTATACCACCCCACCAAAGAAGCAAATAAAGGATACCAGTCAAGACTTCTTTACTGCTGGTTTCATTCCTGGTGCAATTGTGCATTTTTCATACGACTTGCCAAAGGATGATGTAGCTAATTCAGGTCCATTTCTTCAAGAAGATGTGATGTCTCTGAAGGGCTTGGAGCGTGTACCAGAACCAAAGAAAGAACCCACCGAATCAACTTCTGAGAATGCAACTGTAAATGATCCACTTGCTGTTCCTGAGCGCAAACAAACCGACAAAAAAGCTATTAAGCCAAAGTGGCTGAAGATGTGACGGCTGACATATGTGAAGCTCTACGTAATCCTTAGATGATTAAGTGGGAAGGTGCATGATCTGTATTTCATGGTTTTAAACATCAGTCAATTTATAACTTTTTAAGTGTTATACTTGTTTTTGTTGGTCTACTATAAGCTTCAGTCAGTGAACATTTAATACAAGTAATTTTTGTTGTTCATGCTCTGAGCTTGTGGCTTGATGTTGAAGTATCATGTAGCCGTCTGTTGCTATGCATCGTCTTCCTTGCTGTAAACACTTGTAGCACCAACGAAAGCAATAAAATTCAATTGGACTTGATCACAACCTGTAATATGACACAGGGAATATATCTATACTTCGTATGTGTTCTATGTATATGGTTTAATGTATGTGCTGCTATCTTGTTTGGAAAAACCATGGTAGTCTGCAGAGATAGCTTGCAGCATGCTATCAAATTACCTTAATAATTTAAAAGATACATTAGACTTTGCATATATTATCTTATGGGTTGTATACAAATTACCTTAATAATAATCTCATACATTAGTGATGAGTCCAACAGAGAATATCCTTAGTTACAACATAACAATACAACCCTTAAGTTATTGTTCATATTCTTGTACAAGTAATAATCTATATATATAAACTTAAGTGATTAAGCCCTGACTGAAGCAATTAACTGATCCGAGAGCTTATAATCAGCTTCAACACTAAAAAGCCCCGAAAAGACAGGAGGAGGTATACTAACTCCGGCGGCACCAAACGCAGAGTTACAGGCACCAAGCTTGGGAAAAATGACATTACTAATTGTAGACCTAGCATCATTAAATCTCCTTTGAGCAGCTTGTACTTGCACTGTACCACCTGCAGATATAATAGCCTGAATCAAAGGGTTAATTGAAAAAAGGGTGGTTCTTGTTTTCGGGTCTGTTTGAACATCGTTGAGAATCTTGTTCACGTCTTGCTCGAGCCTCAAAGCATCACTATCCCCGCATCCAAGCATCTCTTGGATGACATCTCCTTCGGTTTGAGCATCTCTTCCATCGCTCTTTATGCAGCTAATGCATACGTTTGGAGCGAATGTTGCACCACACATTCTGATCACTAGTGGATCGTTGTCACCAGCATGTGCGAGAGATATTATGCTAAGGAGCGAAATTACTATTAGTGTGAAAATTATGGTGTTTTGGTTGTAAGAAGCCATTGTATATCGTACTTTAAATAATGTATGAGTTTGTTTTGTAATGTTTGTGAGAGTGACTTGGGACGCTTGTGAGGTATATATATATATACTCGTACATGCCATAATCTATCCTTACCTTTCAGGAAATATATTTGATGCTTATATACATGATTATATATATCATTATCCTTATTTTATTTCTACATACATTGTAAGATATAACTCTTATTATTATTATTATTATTAATTTTTTTTTTTTTAAAAAAAACTAAGTAAAATTTTTTTTCTTTGAAGGAAAGATTTAGAAAAAATTGCAAATTATAGCCATTTATAACTTGTATTTTGTAAATTGTAGTCATTATTAAAAAAATTGCAAATTCCAGCCCAAAAATTGGTATAAATTGTAAATTGCAACCAAATTTAATTTTTTCATCGATTTGCGTGTCGAAGTGGCCATTTTAGACTTTAAGGGTCCAAATTAACCTCAGAATTGGCCAAAAATTAACATAAGTGCCTCGTTTTTACAAATAAAAATAGTTGTCCATAAATCAATACATTTTTGTTATGCAAAACAAAGTACTTACGTTTTTTTTTTTGCCAATTCCGAGCTCAATTCGGACTCTCAAGGGCTATAAAGGCCCTTAAAACCTTAAATGTACATTTTTTGACATGCAAATTGATGAAAAAATTGAATTAAGTTGCAATTTACAAGTTATAACAACTTTTGAACTGCAATTTGCAAATTTTTTTTAAATGGCTGTAATTTGCAAAATATTAACTTTTAATGGCTGCAATTTGCAAATTTTCCAAAGATATAATTAGTTAATAATGTAGAGGTGTTTAGCATTCACTTGTTTTTTAACACTTAATTTTGTTATTTTAGACAACAATTTAATTTCTTTAATCCGTTTCCAATGTCTCAATATCACGAATTTGCCTTTTTGAGTAATCATTCTAGAAAACTTCATTGAGTGGTATTTGATCGAAATCTTTCGTATGATAGCCATTGAGGGAAATACACACGACATGCACAATATTACTCATAAGTGAAAGCAATGCAAACACTCTTTACAAATGTGTTGTCAAATGGGAAACTTCAACCAATTTTAAATAGAGAAGGTTTTGCGTGAGACCGTTTCACGTGAGTCCGGTTTATAATGCACACACTCATCCCCACCCCACTAACACTTCTTAGCCACTTGTCGGCAACCAGCAACCACCATCCCCATCCCCATCCCCAAGCTTATAAATTGATTTTTTTTTTATTGTATGATCGGACTCACGTGAGTCCGTTCTACACAATACTTTTCCTTTTAGATGAGATATGATAAAACATTGATAGCAAATGAAGCAATATAAGCGGCCCATAAAATTATACAAGTAGATAATTTGATAAAACACTCAAGAACATTTGTTTATTCATTTGATAATAAAATGAGCAATAATCATCTAAATGAACAAAAAATTACTCTTAAGGGCACCGTGAACCTGTGTGTATAAAACAATTTCTACTTGGTGATTTAAATAGAAACTCATAAATGGGGAGAAAATAACCATCGGACCACTAGCTGACGAAACACCCTTTCATTCTTTAATCTCCGATGAAATAATAATAGTGGGTATACAAATCACAAACCAATTTGTCATCTTGAAACCGGTTTGAAGCTTTCTCGGGTGAAGGAGATTGGATTGTTTGGTGGTGAGTATATCATAACCGTACCATTGATAAATTTGAGAGCAAAATATTTATTACTACCTCTTATTCAAATACTCTGTATTAGAGATAGAGTATCTCTTGGTATCAATGGTAATTATAATTGATATTATCTTTTGTAATCACCAATTAATTAGTACATTACATAATATGATATCGAATAGTTATTATTGTATCCTATTAGGATGGTAAATATCATTCATATTTCATATTATCTTTTGTAATCACCATTTAATTATTACATTACATAATATGATATCTCATAGTTATTATTGTATCCTATTAGGATGGTAAATATCATTCACATCCTCTTTTGTAGTCACCAATTAATTATTATTACATTACATAATTTTTCATTTTTTTTTTCATTACATAATATGATATCTAATTTACAACCATATCAATCAATTAGCCATCAATATCATAATCAAATCACCCTCTATTTTGATGCCATATTTATTCTTTTCCAGACTTAGGGCATGTTCCCATTTATTGAACTGAGCTGAACTAAACTGATTGAAGCTGAACTGAACTGAACTGATTAGAGCTGAACTGAATTGAGATGAAATGAATATTTTATGAGAGAGGAAAATTAAGAGCTGAACTGAACTGAACTGAACTGAAATTAAGTAAATGTGAACAAACCCTTACAACCATGAGAAAATCCCGACTGAAATGAATTACTTGTGGGTATGTTGGATTGTTGGTACTCATGGGTGGTCTACTGGTCTACATATATAACAATGCTCGTTGTTGAATACTTCATCATGAGGAATACCGTAAACTATTAGAGACGACACAACAATAATAATTTTGTAAACAATTAGAAATAGAGGGAGTATACATCATCAATCATATGTACTTGACTACTTGAGGAATACATGGTTGTAAATTGTACTTAACTAATTGACTCTAGTACGAGATCATTTCTTAGTTCTTTAATTAACAATTTTCTCTTTCGAAATTTTATAACAATTGCATTAATTTTATTCTAGGAAAGTCCTATCAATACGAGTATTATTGTTGATTTATTGATATATAATAAGAATATCACCTGGAAACTCGATTGGACACGCGCCATTGCTTTTCTATGAAGTATAGGGGCAAATTTTCAAAAAAAAAAAAAAAAAATAGTTCACGGGCGATAATGGAATTTTATAACAATTGCGTTAATTTTATTCTAGGAAAGTCCTATCAATACGAGTATTATTGATGATTTATTGATATATAATAAGAATATCACCTAGCAACTCGATCGGACACACGCGATTGCTTTTTCTATGAAGTATAGGGGCGAATTTTCCAAAAAAAAAAAAAAAAGTACATGGGCGATAATGGAATTTTTCCGAAAGAAATAAAAATTCAATAATAAAAAAAGCATTAGCAAAATAAAGCTTTGATGGTAAGCTAAGACTAAATCCAAAAGAGAGGTTGAGTCGTGATCAAGAAATCTAAACTTATGTCGTCAATGTTTAGTACCAAAAAAAAAAAAAAAAAGAAAAAATAACGCCGCATATAATTAAATACGTATATTTATTTTACACATGAAATCCAAGTAAATGTTATTAAGATCGAGTTTATGTATCGAAGTATATAAGGATATAAATAAGATCACGTGGTGGTAATTAGTTAACATATAAAAAAAGAAAGACGGTTGTACCACTTGGATTTACAACGGTTATTTATAACGACTATATCACATAAATTAATAACTAATCATTTACAACGATTATATCACTTGAAATAACAACAATTGTCATTTATAACGGTTAATTAAACTAGTAACCATAATTTACAACGATAATAACGGTTGTACTGGACGTAGTACCCATGATATACAACGGTTACACATGACATCAATAAGAGAATTACGAAGAAAAAAGGGGCAAAATGGTCATTATACATTACACTTTGAATAATTGACTTACCCTTTGAAGAAATTTGACTATAGTAGGGTAAAAAACTTCCACAATTAGTAAACAAGATCAATTTCATACACTCACTCCAACGAGAGTGGGAGTATAAATACTGGTACCATCCACTCACACCGCCGTTGACTCATTTGATAAAAAAAAAACCTGACAAAACTCATCAAATTCTCTTACAAACCTTGTCTTCTTCTTAATTTTCTGATAATCAAATAATCACTCAAAAATCATACATTAGTCATTTTATGTTCTGATTGATTAATTAATTAATTTGTTGGCATAAATTTGTGATTTTTATCACTTTTTTCTACCGCAAAACTTTGTCATCATGAGTAATGGTATTTTTTTGTCAGCTTCGCGTAAAGATCGTCGACTTCTCAAAGGTAATTTTTTTTTTTTTTTTTTTTTGTAAATGTATTTCTTTACCATAATTTTGATTTGTATAATAATTTATTTGTTTTTTTTGTCATTTATATTTGTTGTATACCAAAAATCATGTCTTTGCACTTTACTAATGGTTTAACTTGCAAATGAATAACCTTTTTTTATTTTTATTTTTTCAATTGTTAATTATTTTTCACATAAATTTGATTGGGTTGATTTTCATTAATTTAATTATATTAAATTAATTAATTAATTATGATTTTATTAATTGCAGAAGAGGGGAAAATATTAATGGATCGGTATGGAAAACAGGAGGCAAAACAATTGATGCGGGCAAACGAAATGTTGCGAGCAAAAGATGAGAAAGGGCGTAGCGTCCTACACATTGCTGCTGCCGGGGGTGATACCACTCTCTGCAGGTTTTTCCTCAAGACGGTCAAATTTGATGTTAATGTCACAGATATTAAGGGTATATATGATATTTCTCATTAATTATATTTATTAAATCATTTTTAGGGCTTGTGATGAGTTGTGATTTATATATGATCAATTGGATGTTAGTAATGGTCAGGGCCGTCTCCGGTAATTTGGTGGCCCTGTTCTAATTATAAAAATTGGGCCCTTAAATTTTTATAGGACTATTTATAAAAGGTTTAAAATATTATTATTGTAAAATGATTTTTTTGTTTTTTGGTTTTTCACAACAAGAATCATATTTCTAGATTGAGTCAATTCTTCATTTTTTTTTGACGTTTTTCACAACCAAAATCATATTTCCTAATTTTAGGAGCCATAATTAAAAAAAACAACAATTTATATTCCAGAAATAAAAAAATTATGCATAAATTAAGATAACAAATATGTATAGATAGATACAACATGCTCTTTAATCAAGTAATCAACCTCTGCCCACTCCAGATCCACCGAACAAGAACAGTTCGCCAGAATATTGAGTGCTTCCATTAACGTTTTTTCCACCTTTTGAATTGAGTTAAAATTGAAAGAAAACTGAATTGTGTGTATTGCTTGATCTAGAAATTAGTATATTTTGTGTGTATTGCTTGATCTAGAAATTAGTATAAATTAATAAAATTTTGACCGTTAATATCTATTGAATCGTCATTGATTTTGATAAGAGTATAAATTGTTCTTCAATTTTGCCAAAAAAAAGAGAAAAAATTAAGTGAATTGGAGATAATTAGGCAAAATAGGCGTTTATGAGTGATAATTATTGAGTGAATTTAATTTTGTTTTGGAAATCAAAAGACAAAAGAGATTGAATTTTGGATAGGAAGATTTTTGGGTTTTGGTTTCAAAATGGAGGTTTTTACAAGGAAGAAGATGAATAGGTAAAGTAGATTTTTTTTTTAAGTCAATGATTTTTTTTTAAATTGTGGCCCCCTGATTTTTTGGGGCCCTGTTACGTGTGTGAGGAAAAACCTCCTTAAAGCCGGGCCTGGTAATGGTCCTTGAGTATCACTTGTTTTGATTAGATCTGATCAGATCAGACGAGAAAGATTCCAGATCGTACCTCATTTGATCGAACGTAATTATAAATATAAATATAAATATAATAATTTAATTAGATCGGACCGTAAACATTTTTAGACTAGATTAGATTAGATCAGACCTTAATAAAATTATGCCGTGTCTAAAATAATCCAGATTAATTAGAAAAAACCTAAATAACCTTATTTATATAGTGATGTTTATATTTCAATAGTCACCTTACATTATGTCCTTGAACCGATTACCATTTTATTTTTGCTATTACTCTTTCAAATGTAATCTTGTTATGTCTCTTTCGTACGGCTTTTTATACCAAATTATTTTAGGACTAAGACATTGTTGTTGTTGTATTAAGGGCTTCATGCATTCCTTGCACGTTTAAAATGAGGATAATATTTAAAGAGTTTACTAGACAAAACGAATAAATAATTAAAGTAAAATTAACAATAACGAATTATTTAGGAGGTGGTATGCGTAAGTAGTAATTAATTTACAAAACATATTACGCAAATTATGAAATTGTATATGTATAAGAGTATCTTTGATCTCTCGACTTCTTTAACAACCAATATTAATATTCGATCTCTTAAATTGTGTGTATAAGAGTATATTTGATCTCTTTAATATGACGCAAATTATAAAATTGTGTGTACAATATTGCCTATCTAAGTTGCTACACTTGATTCATCAAGAAGTCATTATTTCAAGCAATAAACTTGGAGATTCTACAATTTTTTAGTAGCATAATATGATATGTATGAACTATTAGAATAAACTACTATACTATATCATATTAGATTGATTAATTGTTGATTTTTGGCTATTTTACAGGTCACACTCCTTTGCATTATGCAATTGCAGAAGGTCAAAATTTTATGGCTTCTTCTTTTCTGCTCAATCAAGGAGCAAATCCTAATTTGGCAAGCGATGCTGGAATGACTCCATTGTACTTTGCTGCCGTAAAAGGTTTCTAAAACTTGTCGAGCTATATAGTCTTAAATTCTCTACATTATATTCGTTCTTTTACATTTGATTGTCACATTACTAGTTCAAATTTCAGTCCGTAGTTGGTCTTGTGTGAACAAGACTTACGGATTTTTTGCATTGTCAAGCTATAGATGTAATATTCATTTCTTATACTTTACTCTTGGCTTCAATGTGGCAGGACAAAAAGACCAGATGAAATTGTTGGTATCAAAAGGTGCTAAAGTTGATGCACCATCGCTTATAAAAGGCACACCATTGCGATTTGCTGCGGAATATGGTGTGAAAGAGGGTGTTAAGTTTTTGCTTGACAATAAGGCTAATGTATGTGACAACCCTAACACTTTAATTTTTGTATCTGATTGAGATGTTTCGGTGTATTTATATATAGTCAATTTGCAATATATATATATATATATATAGTACTATTGTGACAGTGGTATACTGATATGTGTCCAAGTGCCAAACTCGGCTAATTGATGACAAATTCCATGTGTTTTGGGCGAAATAATGAATCAAGTGTCCTTACCCATGTCATAACATTAGAGCTTATTCAAGGTTGACTATATGTTGATTTCTGCACTTTTAAAGTCTTATTATTATCTTATATATGAAACACTATATTTTTGTTTATTCTATTGAAATTCAATAATTAAATGGCTTCATTTTGGCCTTATTACAAATGTTTTATCTTCTGATGATCATCTTAAGTTATGAAGCTTGGCTTTATGACCCTTAGTTAATATACATGTATGTTTGTTAGATGATATGAAAATATCTTGTAAATTATGCACATTTATATGATGGCACCTTCTCTCTTTGCAATAATGAAGTTAATCATCTTCTTCTTTGATGCAGCCAAATTCGACTATTCATCCGGTACACCCTCCATTGGTAATGGCCATCGCAAGAAAATCTGTTGATTGCGTAAGGCTACTCCTCAAGGTATAATTATTTGCCTTATTATGAAGATTCTTATTGTATACATAGTTTTTGTTGTTATGTTTGGTGGTTGTGTATTCTTATTTTTGTAGAGAAGATATCATGCTATATATTGTGAGAAAACTATGATACTAATAAACCACTTTGTCTTCTTTAAGGCTAGTTGTGACTTATTTTTCTTCAATTCATTTTTTTAATTGTTTGTGAATCATTTGTGTTTGGTAACTATATTTATACGTAGTATAATTATATTATCATTTTGCATGCACGTACTTCATTTACTTGGATTGAATAGTCACGTCTACTAATTTAGGATGTCTTAATAACTATTTAATTTTGTTTAATAAACAAGCGTTAATGGTATCTGATTGAATTTTCGACCCACCTCACTTCAATTATGTGATAATGATGAAGGAATATAATTAGAATTTAGGAATGCACCTATCATGCATAGGAATATACCGCCTATATATGTATTAAATCATGTCATATCTTTAATTTAAACTAGTCGAGATTGTACATGACAATTAATTCCTGATGGATTGGAAGATGAAGGATTCTTCTTTAATCATGTCATATCTTTAATTTAAGCTATGTCATTTATTTATTGATTGGTGGTACTCTTGGTATGCTTGGTGCAGGGTGGAGCTGACCCGAATCTAAGTTTGCAAGGAGAAAGCCCTTTGACTATGGCTGTTCTAGTAGATGATGCTGAGATTATCAAATGCTTGCTCAAGGCTGGAGCTAATGCTAATGCTATCGATTTCGTAAGTGGAAGATGATAACATTACATTCACATGTTTTTGTTAGAGTTTTAGTCTTAATTAAACTTGTACTCCTGATTGCGGTTATCTTTTTATGTTTTTTATGTCTTGATTTTATATGATTGGGATACATTTGTATATGTATAATGACATTTTCCTGTGATTTCCTTAGTATGATTTCACACCAATAGAACTCGCGGCTAAGGCAGGTAAAGTTGCGCTTATAAACATCCTCTTCAAGGCTACTGCTCGAATTCCTCATATTCCGAACTGGAGCTGTCAAGGAATACTCGAGTATACCAACTCTAAGGAAGCTATAGAGAAGGTAATGTTTTAGGCTAATGACTGATTTTAAGTTCATTATATATGCAATTTATATCGTGCCACTTTCTAATTAAGTTACGTTGATGTCTTTTGAGTGAAAAGATATGCCTCTTAGAGGGACACGTACACGTTATTTGACTACGTTATTTCTTAGTATCTCAATAGTTATATCGTGTTATATATTTTAGTTGTTTTGTAAAGGGGCACTAATTTAATAAACTATTAGGAAAGTGACATTAAGTCACATGCATAGAAAAAATATACAGTCCCTCTTGTTTAATCCTTCAAATTATACTCAAAGGGGACCACCTTTTCTCTCCTTTTTCCCACTCAAATGTACCCACATGTAAAATTAAGTCACATGCACCACTTTCTCTCTTCTATTTCCCTCCTTTTTTTCCAACTTAATTAAACACCCAAACTTGTCATTAAACTTCCCTAAAAGTTTTGCCTAGGAGTCCGTAAAAGTTGTTTTTGTTGCAGATAATTGAAACCGGAGGGAGTATATTACTTGTAGCTCTTGCGATTCAATTTAATGCTTAATTACATGCCTTGCAGCGTTTATCCAAAGTTGAATCCAAGTTTGTTGGAGCTAGAGATAAAGGAACACAAGCCTTCAAAGCAAGTGATTATCTGTCTGCAATTTACTGGTTCACAGAGGTAAAATAAATTAACAAACAAAAAAAAAAAAAAAAAAACTGCAGTCATTAGTAAATTTGCTTGTTTTTCATTCTTAGCACCAATTGACTAATTGTTTACGAGTACAGGCTATCACGACGTTTCCATTGGAACCAAGCGTGTATGTCGAGAGGAGCCTGTGTTGGATGTGCATCAACGATGGAAAGCGTGCACTCAAAGATGCAGAGGAGTGTATTAAGCTGGAACCAGAATTTTGGATGGGACATTACCGGAGTGGAGAAGCTCACAGAATGCTGCAGGTCTGTATATATATGATTGATGTTATAATATCTGAATTCTTTGGGGGAAAATCCCTGTTTCTCATGGTGAGAAACGAAATTTGTTTCTCATGGGGGTATTTTCGTAAATAAATCAACAACTTTTTCATTATTGTGGGCTCCACAGTTGAATAAAGTTGTTGATTTATTTACAAAAATACCATGTGAGAAACGAGAAACTGGGGCACCCTCATTTTTTGGATAATTTTTCAGACTAGTATCTAAACTAGTATAATTCAATTGTGTTATATTTGTATTGGTGCAGGACTATGATAAGGCAAAGGAAGCTTTTAAGACTGCTATGAAGTTTTGCCCTGAGAATAAGAAGCTTGAGGATACTTACAGGTAATTTCAAACAATAATGAAAAATACGCGAGTTTTTTTTATTTTTTGATTAATCTTGATTTATTCCGCAAGCACTATATTGATACTTGTCCTCCATTGTAATGTTTGGCAGGGAGGTTATATTGGAAGAAGCAATGCCGATTCATGACCGTGGCCAGCCCGTTGATGATTATGATCTTAGATTGTTCTAGTTGTGGTGACCGAAATAGAAATATTGAATAATGTAGCACATACTTTCGTGTTGATTTGTGTACTTGCAAAAGCCTCGGATGAGGAAAATTTAGCAGGGTCTTTAAACTGCTGGTTGTTTTCAGTTTTTTTTCTTTTCTAATCGGATTAGAAAAGAGCAGTGGCACATTTTTTTGTGCTGGTGAAGTTGAACTTAATATTTATGACATTGTGACATTGATAATGTTTTGAGGTTTTACATGATATTATGTGAATTTTGTCTAGAGCAAGTGTTAACCCTCGTAATCATGGGCGGAGCGGGGGGGTTGGTGGAGGCCCGGCCCCCCGTGGCCCAACAACATGTTTATTTTGTAGTTTGACAATAACTCTATTGTAGACCCTGGTCCATCTATAGATGGACCACTAGCCCATATGTACTACAAACCTCAAATCTTGCGGCCCAATCACTCTCAAAATTTCTTCAGTTTATTTCTTTTTGTTATTTTGCTCCAACAAACATATCTCTCTCCTCTGCAATTACTTTCATTCATTACTTTCATTTCATTTTTCAATTGCTCAATACTTATCTCTCTCCTCTGCAATTGACGAATCGCCATGGAAGAAAACAAGAAAAAGGTCCATAAAGGTAATTGAATATTTGAACAACTTAAATTTTCTTTAGATTTCTTTAAATTCGTTAATTGATTTCCTTCGAACTTGTTGTAATTTGTTAAAATTATTTAAATTTTGGTAATTTGTGTATAATTTCTAAATATTTTTCACATTTTTTTGACAAATTATTCTACAAGTAGTGATGAAGATGAATGGTTAAAGCTAATCCGATCGATTTCAAGGCGTGCATTGGTACATTGCGATTGTTCGAATATTTTTACTAAATGTTCAAAATTTGCGATGTTCAGATTTTTTTACTAAAATTTCAAATTAAAAATTGAAATTGTTCAGATTTATTTACTAAATGTGCAAAAGTAAAGGCGTGATATATTGCGATTGTTTATATATTTTTAATAAATGCTCAAAATTTTCGATGTTCAGTTCAGATATTTTTTTACTAAATGTTCAAAATTTGCAATCGTTCAGATGTTTTTACCAAATGTACAAAAGTATAGGTGTTATAATTTTTTTAGATATTTTTAGTAAATGTTCAATTTTTTTTAACCAAATGTTCAAAATTTGCAATCATTCTTTTTTTTACTAAATGTTCAAAAGTATAGGTGTGGTACAATGCGATTGTTAAATACTTTTACTAAATGTTCAAAAAATTTGATGTTCAATTCAAATTCTTTTAACTAAATGTTCAAAATTTACAATCATTCAAGATTTTTTAAAACTAAATATTCAAAAGTATAGGCGTGATACATTGTGATTGTTCAGATGCTTTCACTAAATGCTCAAAATTTTTTAATGTTCAGTTCGGATTTTTTTTTACTAAATATTCAAAATTTGCAATCTTTCAGATTTTTTTACTGAATATTTAAAAGTATAGGCGTAGTACATTGCGATTGTTCAGATAATTTTACCAAATGTTCAAAATTTTCGATTTTCAGTCCAGTTTTTTTTTTTTTTTTATTTTTTTTTATTTTTACTAAATGTTCTAAAGTATAGACGTGGTATCTTGTGATTGTTCAGATATTTTTAATAAATGTTCAAAATTTTCGATGTGCAGTTCGGATTTTTTTTACTAAATATTCAAAATTTGCAATGTCCAAGTTTTTTTACTAAATTAATCGATCAAATTAATGACAACAATAAAAAAATATCAATTAATCGATCATAATGGATTACGATTGAAATCGATCAGATTAGTTGCAACAAATTCAATTTGAGATTTGCATGGTGAGAGAGATTCAAGTTCGGCTCCCCATATAAATCTTAAGTGATGATAAATTGTATAATTCCAAGAATAATGAGTTCCAAACATCATAATGGTTATATGTTTTGGTTTTTTTACTATACATTTGAAACTAGAATATCGACCAAGGTCATGACAATGGTGATTCAATGATTGTGTTTATTGACGAGAATAAAGGATGTAATATTTTCCAAGAACTTTAAAAATGTTTGATAAAAAACTAAATCTTGACTTTTGAGACAATCATATAAAAGGATTTGATTAATCTGGATAAAGTATTAAATATATCAATTAAAGAAAACTCTCACCAAAACATGGGATTGAGCAATAATATTCTTAGATACACCAACATTATATCATCAAATTAATATATTTCCATAATTTCTAAATATTATCATATAGCCACAATTCCTTAATACATTCCAATTCCATCACCATTATTAATACAAAACCTAATATATACGTGCATTGAAATCGTAAAACCAATTAAATAAAACAACTAACATGAAACAAATAACATAAAACATAGTTTTTCAAACAAATTAGAGAACAAATTAATCAAGACAATATACCTCTAATTTAGCTTGTACTTCCTCCGTTCTTTTTTTTATTGCACCATGAGAGATTTCACGTTTAACAATGTATTACTTTAGCTATTAATATGTTTAATTATACTTTTGTAAAAATTATAAAAATTTGATATTTGAAAAGAAAATTTCGAAACGAATCTAACTAAATCCCACGTGACTATATTTTTCCTAATGGATAAATCCCAAATGATGTTCAAAGAAGATTAAGTGAATAGTGTAAAAGTCTTAATGGTGCAATAAAATAAAAACGGAGGAAATATAATATATATTCCATTATTGCAGGTAGATGACGAAGTTCGTTTGGTTTAACATCGTTGAAAATCAAACCAAAAGAACCATAGTGGGCATGATGGATAATATTGGAGATAAGATTATCTTATTTAGCAAGACTTTGATATGCATAGAGGTTGTCAGCCCATTAATTCATTCTTCATATACCAAACGAAAATTGAATAAGGTTATATACCAATATTCAATATTATGCTGAAATCGATGCAAGATATGAAGATGATGCTAGTTTGTTGATATATCAATTCGATTTGAAGGGTATTTGGAGTATTGAGGTTTCGAGGAAAGAAGGGATAAAAAAAAACCAAAATTCATAATTGAAGGAGGGGATTGGTTTGACTTTATTGAAAGTCAAGACTTAAATAAGGGGATAAAATTACATTCTATAGCAAGTCTTTGCCCGTGTTCGGTCTAGTTATGTTGGTAGGCTTTCAGAGGAAGCTTATGAGTAATGATGAGGAGTTAATTGCAGCAAATAAACTAGCTGAAAAGGCTTAAATTTATATTTTCTTTAGATTTAGGTTTATACATTTTAAGCCATTTGTACATGCTTCTAACGTTGTTGTATGTTCCACATATCATGTCTTGTATACATTACGGTTGGTATAGGATTTTACAATTTTACTTACATAAATTGGTTGATATTTTGTGATGCAAGTTATCAGTGATATTACATAAAATTGGTTAATAGTCTGTGATGCAAGTTATAAGCGATATTATATACTACTTCTGTTAATTGTTATCTGCAAGTTTGAGGTATTATTTGTAAGATATAAAATATTCCAAAGTTGCAGATAACAATTAACAGAGGTAGTATAATTAGTTGATATTTTGTGATGCAAGTTATAAGTGATTTGGGCCTTTCACTACTACAAAAAATGGCAAAGAGACCCGTTAAAATATGCTTGAGAGACCGCCTTACAACGGGTCTCTATCTCAGAGGTCTGTTTGATAAAAAGACCCGTTCCTTAGAAGGGGTTTGTTTGTGAGGACAAAGAGACCTATCGTTAATGATAACGGGTATGTTACATAAGTTTCAAAATTGATAATTTAGAAGGAAAAAAGACCCGTTGATTGAGATAAGGGGTCTGTTTGGTGGTATCAAACAGACCTGTCGTCGGAGGCTAAGCAAAGAGGGATCTTGAAGGTGGAGACTTCTCAAAATACAAGGAGCATGCATATGCTCGAAGAAGTCGTTGATGAAGGTGGGAAAAAAAAAAAATAGAAGAAGCCATTGATGAGAGGGAGTAAATTGGAGGTGAAAGAGAATGAGTTTTTGAGGACAAAAAATAACAAAGGGATTCGGTGATAAAAGATGCAGATCAGAGTGATAGGGCAAAATTATGGCACAATTAGAGGTAAATGAGGAATGAGTTTTTAAGGAAAAAAATTAGCAAAGGAATGTCGGTGAGATAGAAAGAGATGTAGACGAGAGAGATTGAGCGGCCAAAAGGATGGCACTACACCCGTAAATAATGAGAAGTAAAAATAATGTAAGAGACCCGTTGCTCCTACAAGTCTACAACAGGTTTCTTATCTCACTCCTCTGAATAAAGTTGTGGGCCCAAGGGCTTATAAGAGACCCGTTGTCTCTATTAAAGGATCTCTTACATCAAACATACCCGTTAGTTAAGATAACTGGTCTGTAATTAGGGGTCTTTTTTCCAATTTTTGTAGTAGTGTTTGGGGTCTGATGTGCAAATTCGAGCTAGGTAATTTTAACACACATAGTAAGAACTTTTTTTTTTTTTGACAAGCACATAGTAAGAACTTGAATTGATTAAGCAATTTCAAAAGAATAAAACCCCCCAAAAGTACTACATATTATAGAGAGAATACTCCATCATGTAGAATTATAATGAGACAACATACAATTACAACCAAATAAATTTAAATAGTTTGCTCGATGCATTTTTTTTAAAAAAAAAAGGTTAAAGAGTAGGAATAAACCATAATGGACAACAATAGAAAGATCTTATACGGTTGTTTCACAAATCTAGCAGACGAATTATCTTATTATTCATATGAAAGACACCCATATCATGTCCTCCGAGTCTATTTTAAGGTACATCAGCCTGTACCTTGCTTGCTACAGACAAAAAGCGCGGAAAGAACAAGAAGCTGCGCTGTTTTATAAAGAACATACTGTTGCTTTTTAAAGAACATATAACACTTTTGTAAAGAACATCCAATTTTATGTTTTTTTATATACGTAAAGAACATATGTAATATTAATAAAGAACATGAAGATATTATGTAATAAACATTATTTATATATATCTACCATAATTTTATGACAAAATTTAATGAACCACACAATAAGCAATGAACAAATAATAGTATATGTTCTTTACACCGACATATGTTTTTTTCACTCTTTTTTGGTGCAAATATGTTCCTTTTACTTTAGGTATATGTTCTTTATATTATAATAGTATGTTTTTTTTCCCTACAGTTTTATGTTCTTTACATTTGTATAATATGTTCTTTTTGCGAAACGGTGGTACGTTGCAAGGTACCCACACCTGTAGGAACCACACATTGTATATTTGGTGTCAAAATAACCTCTTCTAAAATTATCGGTAAAGTAAATGCAATTTTGTTCGCAACCCAATTGATCAGTTGCATGAACACACATGGTCGAATTGTTACCCACAATTGCACTTTATATAATTTGATACTTCCAATCACATGGTTTAAGAAATGTACAAAAAGCTTAATTTCCATGACATCGAAAAATAAGACTCTAATAAAATAACGGAGGGTGTAAAAAAAATTCCTCTCTTTTTACTCCAAAAACGTTGACGTCTATCTCATTTAGAGCCTAAAGCTTTTATTCTCGTGTCATTAAAATAAGGCAAAATCTAATGAGTGCCCGGGGCGTTAGATAAGAGAATTAAAGTGCAAATATTAGAGTAAAATTAACATTAATTACCCTGACCGACGCGTGATTTTGTCATGAATTCCTAACTTAATACCATTTCAACCAATATAATTTATCCTTATCTAACGCCCCGGGGCGCTTGTTAGCAAGATCGTTAAAATAATACTCCTTCCGTCCCTAAATTACATTCCTTTTTATAGCATTTATTCCTCACATAATAGATATAGAGGAATGTAATTTAGGGATAGAGGAAGTACTAAATAATTAAAAAAAAAAAAAGGGTTTATATCTCTTGGATTTTCCGAATAAAAACCATAAATTGGTCTACAACATTAACGGGTTTTCCTCCCTAAGTCGTTGAACTCTCTCAGTCAGTCGCTTTCAAGTCTCATCAACTGCACAAACTCAACAATGGCTTCTTCATTTTCTCCTTGTAACTTATTCATCTTTTACTCTTTTTCATTTCTCTTATTTTTTTCGATTTGTGTCTAAATTGTCACTGAATTTTTATATTATGTAAATGCAGTTGATCATAAAACCAAGCAGCGTATTATATCTGCTGCTTTTGCAGGGGACCTTCAATATCTCATGAGTAATTAATTCTTCTATCTTTTCTTAAATTACCAAAAGGGTTTATGTTTTTTAATCTCATCTTTACTGGGTTCATTCTATTTTTATGTTTTCTTCTTTAAATCATCGTTAATTTCCGAAATTAATAAAACCCTTATTTTAACCCCTTTTTTTGTATTTTTTTTTTGGGAGAAACAGAGGTTGTAAATGAATTTGATAATGGCGGTGGAATTGGAAAAGCTTTGGAGAATGTTAGGGATAATACTTTTGGTAGGAATGCCCTTCTTACTGCTGCGGCAAGGAGCAATCTTGATGTGTGCAAGTTTCTTGTTGAACAACTTAACTTCAATGTTAATGAACAAGATGTTAATGGTACTTTCTATTTAATGTTGTTTGGATAATAATAACAACATTTTCTTTGTTACTTTAATTTTTGTTTTTTATTGTTACGTTTTATGATTTGATGTTGACAATCTGTTGTAATTCTTTCGGATCGATGTGGGATTTTGATTTTGATTTTAATTTGAGTTTGTAGATAGTAATGGTTAAAATTGTGCGTTGAGCTACGTGATACTTCAATTGTTGCATTAATTAAAGGACGGGAGAGCATAAGTTGGGTACTTATCTAATGGATAATTGGCATTTTTCGTGATTTGTATGGTAGTAGCTCATTTGGGAGATTTCTATTTGTGGGTGATTAGTTCTTTAAGATGATGTATGTAAAAGGGGTATCAATCAATCAGATTATAAATTGTTGTGAGTCGTATACAATTCATTCTGAGATCTCTTTTCTGTCTCTATCTTGTGTGTTTCCCTATTAGGACTCAATTATATGTAATGCCTCGTGTAATGAAGTCGGTTTATGAATCAATTTGCTTACTTTCGATTTCTGGATGAAATACTGTTATGGTTAAGTTTGTGGGTTTCAGATCATGTCATGTAATATTTTATAAGGTTTAAGAATTGTGTAAAACAATCTGTAAGGACAAACTGAGATAATCAATGCTTCTTGTTTAATGGTTCACACAATTTATAGTAGGGAGTATTCATTTATATATTGATTTGCGATTAGTTACATGGTCTATATTACAGGAGATACCCCATTACATATTTCTACTTTGGAGGAGGATTATGCCACATCTGCCTATCTCCTTGATCATGGAGCAAACTGTAATATCACCATGGACAAAGGATTTACCCCATTACATTATGCTGCAAAAAGAGGTACTACACTAATAAACTATCACAGCATGCTCTTCGAAAGATTTAGTGCATATGTGTGGTATTTTAAGTGACATGGTGCAATTCTTAGTTTGCTTGCTGTTAGTTTGTTGGAGTAAATAATCCCATCTTGTATTTTTGGCCTCTTTTCCTGGTTAGATTTGATGCACAAATTTTGTGTGATGTGTTTGCAGGACGAACAAATCTGTTGTGTTTGCTGATCTCAAAAGGTGCACAAGTGGATGTACAGTCTCGTGTAGGAACACCACTGCATGCTGCTGCAGCTCATGGCATGAGTGACGCTGTTGAGTTTTTGCTTGAAAATAAGGCTAATGTACATTTGTCCTCTTCCTCAACTTAATTAGAGGCTTTATATCCAATTAGCCCCATTTTCTCATATATTTTTTTGGTTCTTAATGTATTGATATTCTGTCATATCATCTCATTGTTTCTCCCGTTTAATGCAGCCTAATTTAGCTTGTCTTAATGTATTACCCTCACTAATGTCTGCCATTTATGCAAAGTCCAAACTTTGTGCAAGGTTATTGATTGAGGTATTATGCTCCACTGTCATCTTATTCCTTGTCTAGCATATGAACTTTTTGGTGGATGACGATGATATCATTCCAAGAAGGATATAGCTTGATTTGTTTCCTTTTAATGCTGCTATTCGTTTCTCTATTGTCATTTCTTCATCTTCTTCCTTAGTTGATTAATCCTCAAACTTTGTGTAGTGGGGAGCTGATCCGAATGTCGTTTCACAAGGTATGACTCCTTTAATTTTGGCTGCCTCTGAAGGACAAACTGAAATAATCAAATGCTTGCTTCGTCTTGGGGCTAACCCTGATCTTCCCAACTTTGTGAGTGCTAACTTAATCTGCAACTACTTAGATGCCTCTTTGGCTGCTTCCACAAACTTGTTTTTTATTCAAGTTCTGACATGCTTTATTTGCTCTTTCAGTATGATAGTACTCCAATACTAATTGCTGCAAAACTCGGCAATCATGCTGATGTAATAGCTCTCTTACTGAAAACTACACCAATACCAACTATCCCTGATTGGAGTGTGCGTGGAATTATGGAGTACATCAATTCTGATGAAGCACACAAAAAGGTAGACACAAGAAATAAATCTCTTGAATTATTAAAAAATCATTTGATCTGGATTGATTTACCTTCATTGGTTTTGGCTAATGGAATTTGCATAACTGGTAGCAAGCACTCATAAATGAAAAGAAGTTTTATGAAGCCAAAGCGAAGGGAGCGGAATCTGTCAAAAGGGGACAGTATCTGGAAGCAGCAGGCTGGTATAGCGAGGTGAGCGTTAACTTGCATACATGTATTAGTCTTCAGCCTACTGGAGCAATGTAATCCTGTAGCTTCTGCAGTTGTTTGGGTATGAAATATGTCAAATACTGAAAATTGATGTGATAAAATATAGGCAATAATTTTGAGGCCAACAAATGCAGCAATGTTATCCAAACAGAAGTCTTTGCTGGGCTAAATTGGAGGAAGGTAATCATGCACTCCGTGATGCCTTGGCCTGCATCGAGCTGAGGAATGATTGGCCAAAGGCACATTACCGAGCTGGGGTGGCCTTCGGTCTTTTACGGGTAAGGGTAAAACGTTGTATGTACTATGCAGCACGATTCCTTAGCCCTGTTAGGCTGTTACTGACTACAGAGTACTATCTTTGTTTTTCCTGTCAAATGTTGACCATTACTAGTATCTGAAACACCTTGATTTATAATAATCTTTGTTAATTCTAAGTCTCATAGTATGATACTTTGATTCGTTCAATTATAACTTTTTCTGTTTTGGGTGAATGTAAATGGCTCAAAAGGTATGGTTGGGTTCGAATCTAATTGATGGATGATAATATTGTGCTTGCTCAGGATTATGAAAGTGCAAAAGAGGAATATAAGATTGCTCTCCAACTGGATCCCGAAAACAAGGAGCTCCAAGATGCATATAGGTAAGCAATTTACCAAAAATTTTAAGTTTTTGAGGCATTAGAATAGGATCATGACTTTCATAAAATTATTGGGGTTTACCAAGGATTCGATCCCACAATATAGGAGACCGAGGGATGCTCCTAGGCCATGCCTCGGTTCCATATATTTCTAGAAAATACAATTGTTACACAGAAAAAGTATGTCTTGATTTTAATAGCTAAACAAAGGAGAGCCAAAATTTACAAATCTATACAAGTAACACATACAAAGTTGCAGTTAATATGAATACTAGTTTTATGAGATATCATGCATTCATTGATGATTATGCTTTTTTGTCACCGATCAACTATAATTACCTTCGTGAACTTATTTTCTTGTAAAACTGGTATTACAGGGAGGCTTTATTAGATATCCAAGCAGTAGAAATGTACAGGAAGAACCACGGGTTACCATCTCGATATGACCAGGATCCACACGAGGAACTTTATGGAGAATACATTTCATCCCTTTATTAGATTTAGTAGAAGAAAATTTTCCACTTAAAGGTAATAATCTTTAGTGTTCAGTTTGTCGTAGTAGTCGACTAGTAGTGTAGTCAGCTAGCTAACCAAGATAACACTCGTTGAGTAATCCGTAGTTCAGAGTCAATATAATGTTTATAGGTAGCTGTACTACTGCAGTGTGCTTGCTGCGCTTATTTGATCCAAGTTTGTAGCACCTTCTTTTCTCTATCTTGCAATAATAATGTTTCTAGTTTGATCTTTGTCACGCGTTAAGTTTATATTTGGACTCTTAATTAGGTTTACCGTTTACACTAGCTGTTGCACTCTATCACCAACTAAAGCTATACAGTTCAATTGGAATTAGTATACCCCTGATCTTTCTTCCTTCTGCGGTTACATTTTGACTTTGGTGCGTGGTTAACATTTAAATGTTTTGATTAGGTTAACTTTATATTGCATATAAAATATAATAAGTTCAAATAAAATAAATCCAGGTAAAGCCGATGAAGTAAACAATGCCTAAGATTAGTTACAATATACTTTGTACTTCCATATATATATATAACAATCCAACTATTCAGTTACATATACTCCGTAATTAGCGTATATTGACAATGGTACCTATATTGTTAACTACTCGATAAACTTATCTACTTAAGCCTTGAAGAATTAATCAACTGACCAGAGATCTTATAATCAGCTTCAACTTTAAACATCCCAGAAAATACGACAGGAGGAGGTGTAGTATTTGTAGATGAACGAAACTCAGAATTAATACGATGAATATTGTTAAAAATATTGTCTTTAATTGTAGACCTAGCATCATCATATTTCCTCAAACCAACAAGGTTTTGCCCTTTTTGAGCTGCAGTTATAAGACCTTCAATATAAGGTTGACTATTTACTAGGGCAGCTATTGTAGTATTGGAGCTGCTAAGTTGTGAGGTATTGATAATCCTATCCACGTCTTTCTTGAGCCTTGTAGCATCACTTATCAAGCATTCGAGCATTTGTTGGATGACATCTTTGGCGAATCTAGCATCTTTGCTATTGCTCTTTACGCAGCTAATGCATACATTTGGAGCGTATGTTGCACCACACATTGACTTGATTAATCTATCATTGTCCGCGGCATGTGTGAAAGCAATTAGGCAAAGGAAAGAAAACACTAATGTCAATTTTTTTGAGTTTTTGTTGTAAGAAGCCATTATTGTAAGTATATATTCTTATGCATATGTTCGATTTTGGGAGGCTATCTAGCTAGCAAATTAAGCTAAGCTATGATAGATCCGGTGTGGCTTCTGAAATTTATGTTTTGTTTTGCAAATTAAGCTGCTATGAATTTATTTATACAATTATTATAAGACAAAAATAGGAATTAGAAACCTCCTTGGTAATTTAGTTTTCTAGTAAATTAAAAAACCAAATAAGGCGAGAAAAGGGATGGGCGTGCACAAATGACGTAAAGCCTAAGATAAATTTGTGATTGTTACATTGTGAGATCATAAATCAATCTTCTTTTACTCCATTTTTAAGTCGGCTACATTCATTTATTTGTTTCGGCGCTGTATTAATATATTTGTCAGAAATTCACGGAACTCTATGGGATGCATCCCAGGGTCATATAATGTTGTTTGGACCCATATATGACCATAAGTTGGCAATATAAAGGCCTCGTGAAAGGTTATAGCCAATACAAGAGACGTGTACGAAAACGGATAAATTGGATGCTTAAAGGTAAATTGGATGGTTTCACCCACCCAATTAGACTCCCGGAGGGTATTAGGGTCTATGGGTAGCTTCTCGGAAGTTTTTCTTTCCGGGTTAAAAAAAGTCGAAAATTGACACAATTGAAGGCTATATAATACATGTTTTTTTGCCAAATTTGGACGTTTCGGGACTCGGTCGAAAAGTCTCGATATTTTAGGGGATACATCCCGAGGTCATATAATGTCGTTTGGAACCATATTTGATCATTATATGTTGTCATAAATGTTCGTTGTAGCCTTGAGTTTTGGAAATCGGTGCAAGTTGTAAACGGGTAAATTAACATTTTAAAGGCATATTGGATAGTTTTACTCAGCAGAATGGGTATTAGGGTCGATGGGAAACATATCGGCAATTATTTTTTCTGAATCCAAATAAGTGAAATATTATCCAAAATTGAAGGATATAATACACAATTTCGAGTCCACTTTGGCATTTTTTTATAAAGTAAACTGAATGCATGAGGTGAATCCCGTGGTCCTATAAGGTGGTTTGAAACCATAACACACCTATAAAGATGTCTATAAATTACCAAGAATGAGTTTTGTTTCTATTTTAAAATTCATGAAATTTTACTATATAATGATGTCGTATAAGTATAATGATACGATGTGGCTTGATTATAATGACGTCATAAATAAAATTATAATGAAGTGATGTGACTTGACGACTATAATGATGTTATAAAAGTTTAATAATGTCATATTATGTAATTATATTTATAATGATATGGTGTCATAATATGATGTGACCTGTCAATATTGATGTCTTAAAAGTATAATAAGAGTCTATGTCGCTTCGATTCGTCACTCCCCTCTATTTCGTAAATAAAAAAAAACTTATATTTTGAAAAATGAGGTTAGTGGTGCTTGTTATATGATAAAAATGTTAAATATTGGATTGAGACAAGTCACAAATTAAAGCTAAGTGTTAGGGTGTTGGATGGTGCAAGGGGCCGTGTGGCATGTGCGCAAAACATGTGCACCCAAGTACAAGGCATACAAACTGTTAGTTTTGTCGTTTGAGGGTATGTCGTCTTTGCTTTAAGACATGATGATTAAGGATAAATGAGATGGTTCCAGGCACTTACCATGACTCCAAAGACCCTTACGGAACCTATAGAAGTACTTAAACACATAATCTTGATTGCTGGGTGAAAAAATGATGTGCGGAAGCTAAATTTGAAGGCTATAATACACGAAATCGGAGCAATTTAGGAAGTGTCGAGGCTCGGGGCGTGTTAGAAACTCACGGAACTCCACGGGACGCATCCTAGGGTCACATAATGTTGTTTGGACCATATACGACCATAAGTCGGCTACATAAAGACCCCGTGAAAGGTTATAGCCAATATAAGAGACGTGTATTAAAACGAATAAGTTGGATGCTTAAAGGTAAATTGGATGGTTTCACCCACCCAATTAGACTCTTGGAGGGTATTAGGGTCTATGGGTAGCTTCTCGGAAGTTTTGTTTTTGGGTATAAAAAAAAGTCAAAATTGACAAAATTGAAGGCTATAATACGCGTTTTTTTTGCCAATTTCGAAAGTTTCAGGACTCGGTGTCGAAAAGTCTCGATATTTTAGGGGGTACATCTTGAGGTCATATAATGTGTTTGGAACCATATTTGATCATTATATGTTGTCATAAATGTCCGTTGTAGCCTTGATTTTTGGAAATTGGTGCAAGTTGTAAACGGGTAAATTAACATTTTAAAGGCATATTGGATAGTTTTACTCAGTAGGATGGACTCTCAGGGCGTATTAGGGTCGATAGGATGCATCTCGACAATTTTTTTATGGATCCAAATAAGTGAAATATTATCCAATATTGAAGGCTATAATACACGATTTCGGGACAATTTTTGGCAATTTTTTTTTATAAAATGAACTTAATGCATGAGGTGAATCTTGAGGTCCTATAAGGTAGTTTGAAACCATAACACACCTATAAATATGTCTATAAATTACCAAGAATGAGTTTTTTTTCTTTTTTAAAATTCATGAAATTTAAAAATATAATGATGTGATATGTCTTGATTAAGGATGAATGAGATGGTTCCAGGCACTAATTATGACTCCTAAGACCCTTTGAGAACCCATGGAAGTACCTAGATGCATAATCTTTTCGGGTTAAAAAATGATGTACGGAAGCTAAATTTGAAGGCTTATAATACACGAAATCGGAGCAATTTAGGAGGTTTCAGGACTCGGTGTCAGAAATTCACGAAACTCCACGAGATGCAACCCGGGGTCATATAATGTTGTTTAGACTCATATACGACCATAAGTCGGGTACATAAAGGCCCTGTGCAAGGTTATAGCCAATACAAGAGGAGTGTACAAAAACGGATAAATTGGATGCATAAAGGCAAATTGGATGGTTTCACCCACTCAATTGGACTTCTAGAGGGTATTAGGGTCTATGGGTAGCTTCTCGGTACTTTTTGTTTCCGGGTAAAAAAAAGTCGAAAATTGACAAAATTGAAGGCTATAATACACGTTATTTGGCCAATTTCGGAGGTTTCGGGATTCGGTGTTGAAAAGTCTCGAGATAATAGGGGATACATTCCGAGGTCATATAATGTCGTTTAGAACCATATATGATCATTATATGTTGTCATAAATATCCGTGGTAGCCTTGAGTTTATGAAATTGGTCAAAGTAGTAAACGAATAAATTAATAGTTTGGTTTTACCCACCAATTGGACTCCCGAGGTGTATTTAGGGTCCATGGGAAAGCATCTCCATTTTTTTTTGTTTTTGGCTCCTAAAAAGTGAAAAATTGTCCAATTGAAGGTCATAATGCATGATTTCGAATCAATTTTTGACATTTTTTTTATAAATGAATTGAATGTGTGGGGTGACTCATGGGGTCCTATAAGGTGGCTTGAAACCATAATACACCTATAAAAATGTCTATAAAGTACCATGAATGAGTTTTGTTTCTATTTTAAAATTCATGAAATTTTAAAATGTAATGATGTCATATAAGTATAATATGTGATGTGGCTTGATTGTAATGATGTCATGAAAGTATGTATAATGAAGTGATGTGACATGACTATAATGATGTCTTATGAATTTAATGATGTTATAAAAGTATAATAAAGTCATATTTATAATTATATTTATAATAATGTGATGTCATAATATGATGTGACTTGACAATAGGGTATTATTAAAGTATTATTAATCTCATATAAGAGATGTCGTATGAGTAAAATGATACTACCTCCGTTTCTTTTTAGTTGACACGTATTCCTTTTTAGAAAGTTTTTTTTCAGTTGACACGTTTTCTTTTGGGGTAACTTTTTTACCTTACATTTACAAGGTACCCCACTTGCTTTTTTCTTCTCTTTCACTCTCTCTCTCTTCTCTTTAATATATGGGCCTAAATCAAACGCGTCAACTAAATAGAAACGGAGGAAGTATCATACAACTATAATAGTGGTGTGAAGTGACACTATAACTTGGAAAAGAA